CTGACTCTTAATGGCTGTTGAGGGTCGTATGTGGTTTCTTTTATAGCCTCGAAGTAGCCTGATCTCGTGGTATACTCTATTGTTTCTGTGGGGAGCCAAACAAACTTATCGGGTGCTCCTCTAGTACTTGGCCTGAGTTTCAAGATGTCTTGCTCGTAATTTGGTAAGATGGCTCTGATTCTCATAACATCCCAAAAGCCAGGCTCTTGAGATAGAAGATCATTCATGCACATGTCTTTGTATACTTTAGATAGTGGGCCCATTTGGGTAATTGGTGAGGTTAACGAGAGACAGGGTTCCTGCCTGATCGGAGTGGAGGTGCCATCGCCTATAATCTTGCCAAGGAGGAGATTGAGGAGGTCTCTCCCAACACAAATACTTTGCCAGCCGTGGGATGTCATGGAGGTGACCACACATTTAAGGAAAGGGGTTACTTGCCAAGGAGGGTCCGAGCAAGGAGGCATTGTGGGTTATTCAGTACCCACCAGCTAATCTTAGCAAGGAGGGCATCATTGAAATTTTGAATATCTCTGAAGCCTAGTCTTCCATCTCTTTTGAACTTAGTAAGCTGTTTCCATGATATCCAACACATTCTTCTTTCTCCTTTATTTGAGTCCCACCAGAACCTGGTCAAGGCTGATTGGATTTGTTTGCACAGAGATGCAGCTAGTTTGAAGCATGACATTGTGTAGGTGGGGAACAAAGCTAGGAATGACTTCAGTAGAGTGAGCTTCCCCGCTGGAAAAAGAAACCGTGAAGACCAGCTGACTGCTTTCTGCTTGATACGGTCCACGATATTGCTAAAAAGATCTTTCTTTTTTCTCCCAAAGTGCTCAGATTAACAAGTTGTTTGCCAGATTCGATGCCATGTTGGAAGCTCTCAACTTTCTCCGGTCTAAAGGATATACTCAAAGGGGCTTGGCTCCAGAATTGGGATGCAAAAAGACAGTTAAAGAATATATGCATAGAAGTCTCAAGCTCTTCATAGTGGGGGCATATGCCTGGGGTCTCCATTAATCGAGCTTGAAGGTTGGATCCCAGTGGAATCGCCTCGTTCATCACTTTCCAGAGGAATGTCTTTGTCTTTGGTGAGCTTTTGATATCCCAAATATTCGCTTTCCACTTAAATTCTCTGACTCTTAATGGCTGTTGAGGGTCGTATGTGGTTTCTTTTATAGCCTCGAAGTAGCCTGATCTCGTGGTATACTCTATTGTTTCTGTGGGGAGCCAAACAAACTTATCGGGTGCTCCTCTAGTACTTGGCCTGAGTTTCAAGATGTCTTGCTCGTAATTTGGTAAGATGGCTCTGATTCTCATAACATCCCAAAAGCCAGGCTCTTGAGATAGAAGATCATTCATGCACATGTCTTTGTATACTTTAGATAGTGGGCCCATTGGGGTAATTGGTGAGGTTAACGAGAGACAGGGTTCCTGCCTGATCGGAGTGGAGGTGCCATCGCCTATAATCTTGCCAAGGAGGAGATTGAGGAGGTCTCTCCCAACACAAATACTTTGCCAGCCGTGGGATGTCATGGAGGTGACCACACATTTAAGGAAAGGGGTTACTTGCCAAGGAGGGTCCGAGCAAGGAGGCATTGTGGGTTATTCAGTACCCGCCAGCTAATCTTAGCAAGGAGGGCATCATTGAAATTTTGAATATCTCTGAAGCCTAGTCTTCCATCTCTTTTGAACTTAGTAAGCTGTTTCCATGATATCCAACACATTCTTCTTTCTCCTTTATTTGAGTCCCACCAGAACCTGGTCAAGGCTGATTGGATTTGTTTGCACAGAGATGCAGCTAGTTTGAAGCATGACATTGTGTAGGTGGGGAACAAAGCTAGGAATGACTTCAGTAGAGTGAGCTTCCCCGCTGGAAAAAGAAACCGTGAAGACCAGCTGACTGCTTTCTGCTTGATACGGTCCATGATACTGCTAAAAAGATCTTTCTTTTTTCTCCCAAAGTGCTCAGGTAAGCCCAGTATTTGCCTAATCTTCCTTCTTTTTGGGTCCCAAGGTCTCTCTTTATCCATTCTCTCAAAGTTTTAGAGTCTTAGTAGAGAAGTTAATCGCAGATTTAGATAGATTATAACTTGCCCTGATTCTTTCTCGTACAAGTGAATAATCTCCATCAGTTTTTTTGCAACTACTTGTATCTGATCTGCAAAAGAACATGATGCCGTCTGCGAACAGCAGGGGGTTGATACAGGGACTTCCGTTGACAACTCTTATCACTGTTAGGAAAACTTCCTCTTGCGCCTTCATACAGAGGCCAGACAGCACTTCGCTGCATAGGATGAAAATGAAGGGCGATAGAGGGTCTCCTTGTCGTATTCCACGCTGAGGGGAAACAAATCCTTGTGCTGAGCCGTTAACAAGGTAGGAATATGTCACTGTATTGATACACTGCATTACCCATTGTACCAATTGAGTGTGGAAACCTAGTCGTTGTAGAACTGCTTCGATGAAGTTCCACTCAATTATCGTATGCCTTAGTCATATCCATTTTAACTGCCATGTAACTTCTCTTCTTTGCCTTGGATGTCTTGAGGAAATGCAGGACCTCATTTGTGATCAGGCCATTATCCGTTATTGCACATTTTGGGACAAAAGCCGATTGGTTCTCAGATACAATGTACTGGAGTAAAGGTTAAAGCTTCAGGGTAAGGAGCTTCGAGATGATTTAATAGTATACACTGCAGAGTGCAATGGGTTGGTAGTCTAACACTTTCTTTGGGCTGTGTATCTTCAGGATGAGTCTAACATGTGCCTAATTAATGTTTCTTGGCAGGACACCTGAAGAGAAGAAGCTTTGGATCTCGGTCACAATGATTGCACCTACTGTCGTCCAATTAGATTGGAAGAAACTCACTGAGAAACCGTAAGGTCCAGGGGTTATTTCCGCATGGATGGCAAGACAAGCTGTTTAGATTTCCCCTGCTGTTGGTAGCTTAATGAGGGATGCATTCATTTCAGCAGAGATACGTGGATGTACTGCCTCTGTAACGACGGTAAGGTTGTTGTTATCATGTGTCTTGAAGATATTCTTAAAGTAGTCAGAGATTACCCGTAAGATAGCATCTTCCTCATGATATGACTAACCCTCTTCATTTTCTATCACAGAGAACTTATTGTCAGCTTTTCTATTACGAGCTGAAGCGTGGAAGAATCTGGTGTTCTGATCTCCCAGCGCCAGCCATAGTTGTCTACTATGTTGCTTCCAAAACGCCTCCTTGGTAAGCCAGTTATAGTTCTTGATTAATGGATGTTAGGAGAGATTCATCTGGGATCAGATTGATCATAGCTTCCTCGAGTTTTTATCTTAGAGTCTCTATTTTATTTTTGGTTGTTCATGTATTTCTCCCGACTCTAGGTGATGATCGCTGAGTGGCTGTCGAGTTTTTCCTCAACTTGTTCTGCATCCCTGAGGTTCCAGGCTTCCCAAAAAAGTGTTGTCACTTCCTTATTTGTCATTAGCCTTCTATCATAGCGAAATAATCCTTTTTTTCTCTTCTTTAGGGGATCGAAGTATGTGACGATGGGCCTGTGGTCAGATCCCTTATAGTTCAAGTACTCACAATGTCCTGAAAGATATTCATCAGCCCGCTATTTTACATAGCATGGTCGAGGGGGCAACACACTAGGTGATTATGTCTCTGGCCTCGCTATGATAAGAAGTCTCCTGAGTGCCGGAGGTCAAAATGGTTGCATTCTCACATGAAAGTTCTGAAGTTTGAGAATGACCCCTTTGGTCTAGGGGGTCCCACCATCTTCTCTGTAGCGTCAGTGATGTCGTTGAAGTCACTTGTAAGAAACCAGACTTCATCACGGTTTTCAGCATTTGAGGTGAGGATGTCCCACATTACTTTCCTCTTCGTTATATATGGGTCTTCATAAACGAATGTAGAAAAGAAGGTTTTGCCTTCAGATTTGATCCGGGTATTAGTAAAATTTGGCAGGAAAAAAGGATCTCAACGTCTGTTCCCTGAATCCAGAAGAGTGCTAGGCCCCCTCTCCCGGGTTGTGTGGTGGCACTAGCATATTCGATGTAAAGCTCATCCACTTTAGTTTCTCTAAGACTATAACATCAGAGTTTTTTTTTTGTTTCAGAGAGGAATACAATATCGAGGGAGATTGATTTCATAATCTCCCGTATGCGTGGAACTGTTGTGCAATCCTCTAAACCAAAACAGTTCCAGCTTACAATTTTTAAGGAATCGGACTTGGCGGTATGTGAATATCCGCCTTCTTCCTCACCATAGTCGGGATTAGCTGGGGATAGGTGGGGGGGGGAGGGGGGTGGTGTACATTGCTCGTGGACGCAATTTTCTGGATCTGTGAAGGTTGTGCTTTCGAATTTTTTCTCTTCTTTTGGTAGGAGCTCCTTGAGTAGTGGTCGTTCTTCTCATGGCTGATTTTTAAACTAAGAGCAACTTCCTCTTTTGGTTCTTTGTTCCTGACATGTTTAGTGGACTTCTTTTGATTGTTTTGTCCAATGGGGATCTGCCTCGTCTTTACTTTGTAGGTTGATTAGGTTCCGCTTCCACGACCTTGGGGTACGCAGGAAAGGGTTCTCTTTCAGCCTCCGCTGCTGTTGCAGGAATGATATCAGTTGCTGTCTCCGGCATCAGATTCCTGGTTTCGTGCTTAAGCACTCTTTGTCTGCGAGCCTCACTCTCTTTTGGATCTCCGCAGTTTACATATTGGATAGTGAATTCTTGTAGTTCCTCCATCACCTCCTTTGTTGATGGGATATGTGGTGGTGTTGAGCGAGAGCTGAAATTCTCATCAGTATTTTGCCTTTCCTTTAGGGTCATCCAAGTGGATCGAGAGTTCACCTATGAAGGGGATCTAATGTTTCTTGAATTTTCCCTCCACTGCAGAATAGGTGAGTGGTGGATAGTTAGGCTTCTTTCTCCGGGTTGATGACCATCATTTCTTGCACTAAATGTCAGAGGAGGCCTGGCTCTTTCGCGCTGGTAAGATTGAGAGATAGCTGGCGTTTAGCAGAGGAGGTGTCTTGAGTTTGTAGGGAGCCTACGCTCCTTGTTCTGGTGTGATTTGAGTCCATTTGATATTGTGTTTCCTTGGAGATTCTTTCTCCAAAAGGTTGGCCATGTCTGTTCTTTGGTGGAAGTTAGATATGGGTTGAGAGAAGTTTGTTGGTTGTGTTTTTGACCTTGGTGCTTGTCTTGTGTGTTCATGTAAAGGTTGTTGTGATGATCTGTAGTTGTTCGTTGTAGGCAGGCTTTTGCTTAATGGATGAAAATGTGGCTTGAGGAGCAATGTCTCTCTGACCTCTCATAGTCAAAAGTAATTATAGTTTATTCTCTATTTGCAAACTCGAGAACATTTTCTTTGATGAGTGGTTTGAGCCCATTTATACTAACTCTGGCTCTTGTTGTGGTTTCTGTTAGCTCATAGTTTTCTTAGACGCCAATCTCATCAGCTATCTTACAGATGAGCTCTTTCTTCCAGTAGTGTAGAGGAATGCCTTTTTGACAGATCCAGAAAGGGATATGAAATGGGAAGTTCAAGAAGATAACCGGTTCCCATTTCTGTAAGATTATCTTTTATCCGCCAAAGTGATAAGGCCTGTTGTCAAGAAATTTCTAGAGATCTTCGGGATAGTCGAAATAGAATTGGAAGCATCCATTTCCTAGAGGTGGCTCTGTCCTGGAGGCTCCAGCGTTTGGAGAGGGCTGGTATGAGGGCCCATATGCGTAGTTCTCTTTCGTTGGTAACTCTACCAATGAGGGTGAGATTGTTAGCTTCTATCAGATCTGAGGTGTCGACTTTCTGAGCTTGTATGCACACTTGTGGTGGATCCTCATGGGCAACCTTTCCCTTTCTCAGAGTAGGAGAGGCGACCAGCTATTCTTTTGGGTTTTTGTTTGTTTTCCATGGGGAATACGTCAGAGCCTATGTTATTGTTGTGTTTGGAGGCTTGTGAGGGCGAGGTGTCAAGAGCCAGAGGAAGAAATGGGGATGTGTTTATCAAGAGCCGGAGGGAGCTTTGGAGTAGATTCTTGGGGAAGATTAGGGACTGAGCCTGCCTGTGAAAGCAGTGGTGTAAGGTATATTGAGGTTCCAGTGGCTGTTAAGTGCTCGAACTAGCCGTTGTAGCGTTCGAAGGAGGGCTCGGAAAGTAAACGGAATCAGAGTTCGAGAGAGGCAAAGAACGCACCGGTGGTAAAGGGCAGACCCTCCGACATGAAGCCGGGGGCGAAACCACAGTTTCACAGAAACAAAGGTGGTTTGTTATAGTCAATTTATTATTTTAGGCAAAAAAGGTGGTTGAGTTCACGAAGAAGAGAAAAGAACATGTTCTAAGAGAGCCTTAAAAATGGTGCTTGGGAACGTTTTTTGAAAGACGGTCTAACAGTGGCCTTTAATTTTATTAATGCCTATATAAAGGGTTTTTATAAAAGTTAAAAGTTTAAAAATAAACCATAAATTCAAAATATTGTACTACATGATTCAGTTAAATCAACACAGTAATAACAATCAGTAAAATTAATAAATCAATCAAAATATTTTAATTAATACACATCATCAACTAATTTTTATTATTTTTATTTTAAAACTATTGAAAATTCAAATATTTTTTTTGTTATTTTTTGTTTTATTTTTTACCAAATCCAAGCCCAAATAATAAATAACAGCAAATAAAAAATGAAATATTTGTTCTATTTTTTGCCAAATATAAGCCCAGATAATAAATAATAGCAAATAAAAAATTAAATTTTTATTTTATTTTTTTCCAAAACCAAATTCAAATAATAAATAAGAGCAAATAAATTTGTTTTATAGATATCTGATTGTTTGACAAAGACGTATATGATTGGAGAAAGTGTAGGCTCAACATCTACTATGTTTCCATGACAACAATACAAAAAGTCTTATGTTATAAGAAGTTCACACTTCAGCACAAATTTGAATCAATTAAAACATAACAATAATATACATCATCAACATAATAATAAATCCCAATGTTTACAAAAAATGGAAGTCGAAAGCAAATGAGGAGAATCTGAGACCACCACAGCTTGGAGATTCGTATTTCCGGTGGTTACCAAGAACAAATCAATAACTTTTTGATTATTCTCCGTCGCTAAGCATGCTTTCCTTCTCTCATGGTTCAATTATTTTGATGCTTTGTCTCCACTTCACAGCTCCGTACCTTTGGCTTTCTCCCAATCATTCGTGAAAACCTCAATCTCAGCACCATTGAAATCGGAAACACCAGAATCACCTTTCCTTCTGGCTCGGTCTTCATTCAGTTTCTCGGTTTTGACGTAAAAGAAAAAATCATGATTTGAACAGGAAAACAAAAAAAAATGAAAAAATAAAAAATTCCCGGTTTCGACGGGAAAATGAGATTTCCCTGTTTTAGCGCAGAAATAAAATATCTCAGTATTGTCAGAAAAATACGATTTCTTAGTTTGATGGGAAAATAAATTTTCTCTGTTTTGACGGGAAACAAAATTTCTCGGTTATGATGGGAATACAAAATATCTCGGTTTTGGCAGGAAATGTGAACTCTTGGTATTAACGGACAATACAATTTTTCTGTTTTTGAATACTATAAAAATATCAATGTCTCTCCAAGAGATGACACATAAGTTTTTTTATGTTATAAGAAGCTCACACATTAGCATAAATTTGAAACAATAAAAACATAACAATAATACATACATCAACACAATAATATAATTACCTTATTATTATGCTGACCCAATAAGAAACTCAAAGTTTACCAAAAATAGAGGTCGAAAGCAAATGAGGAGAAGCTCATACCACCACAGCTTAGAGATTCGCACTTCCTGTGGTTACCGAAAACAAATCAATAACTTTCGGTTATTCTCTATCGCTAAGCCTCACATGAGAGCTTTCCATCTCTCATGGTTTCAATTATTCTGCTGCTTTGTCTCCACTTTCGCCTCTTTGCAGCTCGGCCTTCGTCCCAGTTATTCGTGATAACCTCAATCTCAGCACCATTGACATTGGAAACGCCGTAATCAATCTATGTTTCCAGATCGGTCTTCACTCAATTTCTCGGTTTTGATGTGAAAGAAAAATTTCATGGTTTGAAGAAAACAAAAATTCTTGAGAAACTGAAAATTCTAGGTTTTGACAAAAAAAATGAGATTTTCTGGTTTTGGCGTGAAAAGGAAATTTATCGGTTTTGATGGAAGAATGCGATTTCTTAGTTTGATGGAAAAATAAATTTTCTCGCTTTAGACAAAAACAAAATTTCTCGGTTATGGTGGGAAAACAAAATATCTCGGTTTTGACAGGAAATGCGAATTCTCCGTTTTGATAGGCAACACAATTTTCTGTTTTTTTATGGATAATGCGACTTGATTTTCGCAGGAAAATACAATTTCACAGTTTTTGCGGGAAAATGTAGTTTGATTATTTTGGCGGAAAATACAATTTCTCAGTTTTGTTAGGATAACATGATGTTTGGTTCAGTGTGAGAACAAATTTTCTTGGTTTTGGCGGGAATAGGAAATTTATCGGTTTTGGTGGGAATAAGAGATTTTTTGGTTTCGGTAAGAAAACATAATTTTCGGTTATGGTGAAAAATTAAATTTCTTGGTTATGGCGGGAAAATGCAATTTCTCGGGTTTGGCACGAAAATGAGCTTTTTGGTTTTGGTGAGAAAACAAAATATCTTAGTTTTGACGAGAAAAAGTGATTTTTCGATTTTGATAAAATGTAACTTTTCAATTTTGACGAAAAAATACAATTTCTCGGTTTTGATAGAAAATGTAAATTTTGTGCTTTTGACGGATAATGCAATTTTTTTGGTTTTCGCAGAAAAATATGATTTCTTTGTTTTCGCTGGAAATTGCAATTTGATGATTTTGGCGGAAAATGTAACTTCTTGGTTTGATGGGAAAACAAAATTTCTCGGCTTTTGTGAGAATAAACAATTTCTAGGTTTTGATGAAAAATGTAAATTTTCAGTTTTTGTTTTTCACGGGAAAATGCAATTCTCGGAAGATAATGCGATTTTTGGTTTTCACGGAAAATTGTAATTATCCGTTTTGTTAGGAAAACCTGATTTTTGGTTTGACGAGAAAATGAAAATTTTGGTTTTGGTGAGAATAAACGATTTCTCGGTTTTCGCGGGAAAAACGAATGTTTTGGTTTTGACGGGAAAATATAATTTTTGGTTTTTGCAGGAAGATGAAATTTTTTGGTTTTGGTTAAATACGTGATTTCTCGGTTTTGGCAGGAAAATACAGGTTCTCGCTGGAAAATGTGATTTTTTAGTTTTTGCGAGAAAATACAATTTTTCGGTTCTGGTGGAAAATGATAATTTAGGTTTGACGATGTAATAACTCAAATCTGATCAGTGGAAAAAACAAGAGTCAATGGGTTCAAAGAGAGATCTTTATTAAGGATAAAGCCGGAGCTCGAAAGGTACACAATGGTTTTAGGTCGCCGTAATAAGAACGCCGACCTAAAATTTTAATAGGCTTCTCTGAAAGTCGGATGAAGTCTACTTAGTAGACTTCTCGAGTAGACTTCTCGGGTAGAATTCCTGGAGAAGTCTGCGATCAATAAGCTAAGTATCTTATAAAATATAAAAATTGATTCGACCATAACCATAAAATATGAATATGTAAAACTTATACATATGCAAGAACACTTACTAACATAAGCTTAGGATCACGAAAATCTTAAAAATTTGTTATTTATTGTATAAAAATGCATTATTTAAAAAAACAAGAAAAGTAGTCTTCTCGGAAAAATGTAGATTTCTCACAGGTTAGTTTTGCAATTGCAAAAGATTAGTAGACTTCTCGAAGAAGACTACTCAGAAAAGTAGACTTCTCGAAGAAGTCTACTCAGAAAAGTAGACTTTTCACAGGTCATTTTTGCAATTGACCAAAAAGTCAAAGATTTTTCAGTTGCAAAAATGATCTGTGAGAATTCTACTTTTCTTGGAGAAATCTACTCTACAAAGTCACAGGTTGGTCAATTACAAAAATGACCTGCCTCTAAAGGAGTCTACTCGAGAAGTCTACTCCATTTTTTTGTTTTCAAAGGAAATGGAGTAGACTTCATTCGGATCAAAAGAAGTCTACTTTTTTCATACAGTCAATTGCAAAACTAACATGAGCGTTGACTAGTAGACTTCACAGTGGTGAAGAGAAGTCTACTTTCGCAGCCCGGAACTGAAAAATAGTAAAATTGACTGAAAATATGACTTACCACTCGTCTTTAGCTTCTTTTCTAACCGAGATCTTCGATTCTAGCCACCATGAAAGAGACACAACCACAAAAATCGACCAACTCGCCAGAATATAGAGATATATATGAATTTCAACTTTTTAATAGTCAAATTATAGAGTTTTTGAAAAAAAAATAGAGAGAAAATAGAAGAATAGAATCTTAAGAGAAAGATAATGAACTATCCAAGCTCAAAAATGGGTTTTTGGTGCTATTAAAGCTCTAAATTGGTCGAAAATGGTGGTTGAGTGAATTGATGATGATAACATTTTCGTAAATAAGTGAGGAAGATGAGTATTATTTGGTCAATTGGATATCTAAAAATAAAAAAATATAATAATATGAAGTAATGGTATAATCATAAATAATTGGAATTGATAAATATTATTTGGACACAAAATGACTAATGTTGCGAAGGTGAATTTTGTGGGTTGGATTTGTATTTTAACTCAAATTTTGAGTCATTTTTGCAACTATCCCTATAAATATTAGTATAAGCGAACATTGTTAATGACGGACCATTGATACTAGTTTAAAAAATTTTGAGATTCGAGATGAAAATTTGCAGATACAAAACAGAAATGGGAAATTTGAGAATAAAAAAAATAATTTCAAAATAAAATTCAATGAAAATGAGATGGAAATTTGTGAATATAGGTTGGGAATATGCAGGTATGAGGCGAGAACGAAAATCTCAAACTTTTAACTTATAGGCATATATTTTGGATAAATTATTTAATTATTTTGGATAAATTCAGAAGATTTAATCAAGGAAATTTTGGGAAATTTTGATAAAATTTAAGAAAATTTTAAAAAATTTGAGAAAATATATAAATTTTTATTTTTTTTAACAGAATTCGGGTACTCAATTTTATTCCCGTTCCATTCCCCTTCATTTACGCTTTTGAATAAAATATATATTCTCGAATAGGTAATTATTTAGATCAAAAGGCTTGTTTCTCTTGTTTTGGACAATTGAGAAGATTAATTTAACACAATTTTTTTAATTTCAAATGTGGTTATTACACCAATTGCCCATTCTTAAAAACCATACGTAAAGGCCTACAAAGATGTTCATATAAAAAGGCCTTATTGTGATACCATGGGCCATAGGGTAGGCTATATTAGTCCAAAAATTCTTCATATCTGTTTTGTTCAGTTAACTCTAATAATAATTTGGTGAAACCTATTGTTGTAGATGACGCTTACCCTTCCGCGAAATCAGTCGTGAGTTTGATTTGATTTCTCACCGTCGTCCTTGTGTGCCTGCGAGTGATTATGTTCTTGAAAGTCGAATTCTTTAGAACCATTGTACCCTTGATTCTCTGATTTCTGCTTTTATGGTTTTATATAATAAAGTCTTGGTTTTTCGTCGTCTTTAGGATTGGAGTCCAAGGAAGAGATCTCAAGTTGACGCTAGAGGATGCTCTGAGCTATGTGAAAGAAGTCGAGAGAGCGTTTGCACACGACCAAGGAAAGTTTGCCACTTTCTGCAAGCTGATGATTGATGCCAAGAGGAAAAGGTTGGGAATGTTTTTGTATATCTATCTAAGGAACTTTTGGTTTTGTGGAAGAAGAGAAAAATATGCAGAAGAAGATTAATGCTCTGAATGAGCTTGTTGACACATAGAAATAAGCTCTAATGAATTTGGATTCAAAGAGTAAAAAGAAAGGAATGAATTTGGATTGTCACCAATAACTAAATGATTTTGGAATAATATGTAGAAGAAGAGTTGCTTTTTGACAACTCTTATAGTTACTTGTCATTACACACATATTTATTATATGAATCTAAATCTTGCTAAGAAAAACATGGGTAATTTTTGGGCTTTTTCATGTGACAATTTTATTGGGTTTGACTTATGTGCTGTAATACTATGTACTAGAGTGTTTTCTTCCAAACAAAATATTATAAAAGAATACGAAAATAGTTTGATTGAGGATTATAAGTTTGTAGAGGAGTTATTTGATAGTATAAATCTTATCATTTTCTTTGTCATGTTTCTAAATAATGCAATATATAATATAATAAAATAAAAATAAAAAGAAAGAAATATGACATTTAAAATACGAGACTGGATTTTACATAAATGAGCAAGAAAGAAAAGGTTCAGTACCGAAAAAAGTCAAACGGGTGATTCACATGTAAAAACTCCGAATTACGACAAAAATTAAAGGAAATCTTGTGAATATAAAAATCGTATTAATGTAGTGATAGATGTGTATGTGGCATCCAATAACAGAGTGGAGAAATCCATGGTTCAAAGCAACCATAAGATTAGCTCAAAGAACACTTTAGATTTATTTTTATTTTTTCCTCATTTAAAAAAAAAAGATTAGCTCACTTGTTCCTTTCCCTTCAATCTCTCATCTGTTGGTTCTCACTTCAAAATCTATTATTATTCATGCATCATCGTCATCGTCATCGTCATCATCCTTCGATTTCACTAACGTTTCTTTTGGGTTTTTAGGTGAAAAGTCTCTTTTTCTGCAAATTTACACTTTCTGCATGAGTTTTTTCAACCTAGAAATAAAGTGTTTCATTGAATTTTTTTTTTTTTTTTGACTGACATAACAACGACTCTTGAGCAAAAATGATCCAATATATGACTAATTTTCTTAAGAAGTTTCTCATCAATTCCATTTTTCATTTGCAGAATCTGATCTCACATCATGCTTCTTGTTTCACTCGTTTTCTCTCTTTGCATAAACCAATCTTCCTCTCCAGGTACTTCAATTAATTTTTCGATTTTATGATATTTATTTAATTATTTTCCATTAATATTTGTTCATACGCGTGAATAAATAAGGAAACACTTTTTTTTTCCCTTTTTCTCTCATATATAAACAAAACAGTGCTTCATCAAGAGATACAATTGTTGAAACCGACACATCAAAGGCACAATCTTTTTCCAAAATCGAAGAATCAGAAGAAGTAAAGATGATCGAATCAGAAAATTCAGGAGTCGATGAAGACGAAGAGATTAAGGAATCGCCGAAGTTTGTTTTCAAATTCGCTTTTCAGACGGAAACTTTCGAGAAATTAAGCAGAGAAGGTTACAGATCGTTGAGTGATTCTGGTGAGAACGAGAGCGAGAGCTGTTTTTTGTCTTGTTCTTCTTCCTCTTCTTCTCCGGCCATTTCCACGGCGGGGAACAAGTATGAGTCTCAATCTCCGGCGAAGAATCTCACTTTCGTTGTCGAAAACCCAAAGGCGGCGACTTTTAGGGTTGAAGACTGTTTGAATGAGAAGAAGCTAGAAAAAACAGAGGATTATTCCGGCGATTCTGGTGAGAGCGAGAGCGGTTTTTTTAGTTCTTCTCATCAGGCGATTTCCACGGCGGCGAATAAATACGAATCGCCGTCTCCGGCGAGAAACCTCACTTTTGTTCTCGAAAACTCAAAGGCGGCGCTTTTTAGGGTTAAAAAAACAGAGGAATACTCTGTTTCTTCCTTTGAGAAGAAACCAGAGGAAATCAGTTTTTTAACAGAGGAAGATTTTCTGGCATCAGATTCTGATTTTGTTGACTCGAGTCAGACATTCACAAGCAACGAAAATGGGTTTTTGTCAGATTCCGATTTCGGAGGAACATCACCGGAGGAGAAAGGGGAAGATCGTAAAATCCATAATTCTGGTTCTGGCTCTGATTCAGAGGAAGAAGATGCAGAAGAAGAAGAGGAAGAAGAAGATGCAAACGAATTCGAGAGTTTATGGGAGCATCAGGATTTGATAGAGCAACTTAAGATGGAGATGAAGAAGGTTAAAGCAATCGGTGGGCTTCCGACAATTCTTGAGGAAGAAGAAGATGATTGTCCTAAGTTCATGGAGGATTTAAAGCCATGGAGAATCGAAGAAGAGAAGAAATCTAAACATGTTGATACATTTGGAGAAGTTCATAAGTTCCATCGAAGTTACAGAGAAAGAATGCGAAAACTCGATATCTTGAGTTTTCAGAAATCTTATGCTCTTGGTAAGTTTTCTATTTTTCTTCTTTCTTCTATTTATTTATTTTATAAAAATGTTCAGTTTTTAGTGTTAGTCAAATAACTTGGCCTAATTTTTAAAAAATTATTTTATTTTGTAGTGTTTTATAAGTTAAAATTTTTAAAAACGGAAGAACAAATAGGTCCCACGAAATCTACTCATTATAGGTTCTAAGAAAATTTAATTTTGCTCCTATTAGCGTTTGATTCCGCGTTTTAAAGTGGAACATTGCACCGAACCTAAAAGCTAACCATTATTTAATTGTCTTCATGGTTTTCTTACCAGTTTTTTAATAAATGTGTTTTCTTGGATGATGCGTTTAGATTTAATTTATTAAGTGATGAGGAATATGGAATAAAATTGTTAGGGGTCATTTGTCATTTTAGAAGAAGTTAGAAGTTTTTAGTCTTTTTAATTAGTTAATAAACAAAAACATATTTTTGTTAACTGACTAGTGTATTTTATTATTGAAATTAAAACGGATGTTTGACAAAATGAGAGTGTCATACTCGAAATTACTATAAATAGATATTTAGTGCATTGAATTTGAATATAGCCGTTGGATTTTACAGTATACAAACTAGTTTCATTTTGTATAAATATTTTTCATATGACATATTGATCCTTTTTACTTCTTCTTAGATATGTGGACAACATGTGGCATGCAATGTGATAAATGTTGCCTCACCCATAAAGCTATATCGTGGGAACTGAAAATTTAGTCTAACCAATATTTTTCATCTAGTATTTTAAACCATTGCACAAATGCACATCTTTTATGTTTTGTGGTTAGCTTTTATGTATCTTCTTTATTGCATTGCTCTTTTATAGAACTCCTTTACCTAATTTTTTCCAGTCTCCACTAACTTATTTTTCCTAGTGGGAGCCTTATTTTCCACAAATATAGTCCCAAATTAGTTTTTTTCTATTCCATCATAATTTTCTTTTACTAAAATGAACCATACAATATACATGTAAAGGTAGTGATTATTAGATTATGGAATTTTGGTAGGCCAGTAATTATTAGCTTAGTTAAGTTTGTGTGTATTTTTTATTCTACAATTTTCTTGACTTAATGTATTGTTTCTCTTGCATTTTTACTCAACTAACTTTGATTCTTGTCCTGTTTTTCTTGAAGGGCTTCTTAAATCAAAGAACTCCTCGACCGTTGATAGCTCTCCTTCTCAGGCATCGGTTTTCTCGGTTAATCTTCGGTTATGGAAACCGAAGAAACCAGAAACCGAACCAATGGTTCAATTCATAAAAGAGATTCATGGAGAGTTGGAAAACGTATACGTCGGTCACATGTGTTTGTCGTGGGAGATTCTTCACTGGCAATACGAAAAGGCCATTGAATTACTAGAATCTGATGTGTACGGATCTCGCCGGTACAACGGAGTCGCCGGAGAGTTCCAACAGTTTCAGGTTCTGCTTCAGAGATTTCTTGAAAACGAACCTTTCGAAGAGCCTAGAGTGCAACATTACATCAAGAAACGTTGTCTTCGTCGTAATCTCCTTCAAGTCCCGGTTATTCGAGGTAAGAGAACTTACCCAAACTATGTTTATGGTTTAAGTCGGTTCGTCTTTTAAACCGGTTTATAAACGTTGGATGATGTTAACAGAAGATGGAAACAAGAAGAAAGGTAGAAGAAGAGATGACGAGGAAAATGATGATGGTGCGATTAAAAGCGATCAACTAGTGGAGATTATGGAGGAAACGATTCGATTGTTCTGGCGTTTTGTACGTTGTGATAAGCTTACTAGCTCGATTCATGATCAGAAATCGAGAACCAAATCACAAATAGAACCGGATCATGAAGAAGACTCGGAAGATCTTGAGATGTTCGCAGAGGTTAAATCAGAACTTCAAAATGTAAGTATTTTCTTTCTCTCAAGACGCTAAACGTTTTAACTTCTTGAAACGATTTACTAACGTGTTTTTGGTGGTTTGCAGAAGGAGAAGAGGTTGAAACATGTGTTGAAGAGTGAGAGATGTATCATAAGAAGATTCAAGAAGCACAAGGAAGAAGACTCAACAGATGATCAAGTGCTTCACTTCTTCTCACAGGTGGACATGAAGCTTGTGACAAGAGTCTTGAACATGTCTAAATTGACTAAGGATCATTTGGTTTGGTGTCGTAATAAGTTGACCAAGATTAGCTTTGTGAATAGAAGGTTACATTTAGAATCTTCCTTTAGTCTCTTCCCTTGTTGAGATTTTGTACTGACATGTAGTTGTAGATAAATCGGAGTAATAAAAAGTTAACTTTATGTTCTAAAGATGTTCGTGTAAGTACCTAAGGCAAATTAGAAAGAAAAAAAAAAAAAAACTAAAAATAGATTTCTATATATTATGTAAGATAAGTTTTGGAAAGTAAATTCATTCAACATTATTAACAAGAAAAGAAGTTTTTGTTACAAATATGCAAAGAAAGCCTCATATATACTCTTACTTGATATAAATCTCCAAGTACACACTTAACATGGAGAGTGCTTCCACATTCATCGCATGTGTAATACCACACATTTGTATCCGTTTTCGTCTCACAGATATCACACCAACAATCACCGCTTGCGTTACCGGCACCATGGCATAGCGATAAGAAATGATCATCGCATCTGTGTTTTACCTTTCTCGGTAACATGACGCAGTTCATGCATAAACCGTACTCACATTGAGTTTGAGTGCATCTCAAGTTATTCAGAGATAGCGTGCCACAGCCGCAACAGTTTAAGAAAACTGTCGAGGTGCGGTACAATGGATGTTGATGCAGCTCATGGTAAACCGGTTCAGATACGGAAGCACAACGCAAATCTAAAACAACTGTTGGAGATAGATACGATGAACCATGATACTTGTACCTAAAACCGTTGGAGTGTTGGTGACATGTTGAGCACTGGAACACAGAAGAAGCTTCGTCGACTTGTAGAGTAAGTTCTTGGCTGTAAAACAAGTTTCGTTTCCTTCGAGGAAAGCTAGCACATGCTTTATGGAGGCAGAAACTACATTCTACACATTTGTAGAATGGATCATCGTTGATAGGAAAGACACAACCGTCACACCGCATCTTGTTATCACTATCCGTGACATGATCTTCATTTACTCTTAGAATATGCTTCTCGTGACCAAAATGAATGATTTCTTTCTCATTGATCACCTTGAATGGTGGTTCCATTTCTTCTTCTTCGGGTTCATCTTCGAGTTTTTTCCCATCCCATACATCTTCTCTTGTTGCACACCTCGAGTGAACGGCATAGCTAGGGCAAAGCGAGCAGAAAAAAGCTCTATAGACCCAATCAATCTCCTGACGACAAACCCCACATTCCCAATCTCCTTCACCAAGATGAGAAGTGCTAGAAATGCGATGATCATGACGGTTGATTCTAATAACCCGTGGTACGAAAACACAGTCTTTATGGACCATCACGTTGCATTCGAGACATATATAAGGATTACGATCACCTTCCACACCACATGCATTACAAGTGAATCTCTCTCAACAATTCTATCATTTGAGACAACATGTTGTAATCTCTCTCAACAATTCTATCATTTTTGGGCTATTACATTTATCCAATGGCTCTGCGTCAAAACAAAAAGTTCTTGATATCCATTGAGCCCATCTTCTCTCTGTGGATTCAAAGCTACTACCAATACCAAACAAAATCAAACTAAGAGAACTTTTGAGAGATGCAAAGAATTGATGAGACTCTATTAATAAGTGAACATAACAAGAAAGAAGAAAATGTAAGAAAGGTTTATGGAGCTGATAGTTTCAGGAAAATAGATTACTCTAATTTTACTCTGAGATGAGAACAACGAAGAATAATCTTTAGATTCTCTAGGAACTAAAGACCCTTACTCTGTTCTCCCACCTATTGATACTGTTCCTTGCATCAAACATCTCATATTCAATTGGAGCATGAAATATCAGCAAGTATAAACCCTCCAAGAAACTTTTAGCTATGTGGGTTGTGTCTAGAGTCTCATCCACACCGATCTGAATTTTTATGGGTGTATTTACCTAAATGTGTGTAGCAGAAAGATGAGTTGGGCTATTCCACCAACAAAACATTGTTCTCCATCATTCCTTCTCCGGAAGTAGGAAACTCAGGTGAGACTTGCCATTCTCCATCCACTAAGAACTTCATCTCATACCTTAAAATTTCAAGAATTCAAATTCAAGAAACTAGTTCGAAACACGAACATATGTTGCTGAATGCAAGAAAGGTTATAGTAGAAGAAATGGTACCTCCCAGGACGAAGGATCAACGTGGTAGAGAATTTAGTGAATGAAGCTGTGTACTCAGGCGATAGATCCTCAGGTTGGCTCCATCCATCGAACGATCCCGTTACTTGTACACTCTTATTTGAAGATTATCATTAGATAAGGTCTAACATCTAACCTCAGAATCTCAAATGCATCCCTCAATATAACTATTCAGAATGTCAAATGCATATTTACCTCTGCCATACCGATCCAGAACACATGAACTTCCTTTGACTGTGCAGCTTCAACGTCTTTTATTTGTTCCTTCAACTTTCTTTCTACAGCTTTAATGGGAGCAAAGAAGAATTTCAGAGGTTTTTGAAAAGAATCTAAATAATGAATGAAGCTAAATGGACAGCAGAAGAACCTTCTAAACGAGAGAGAAGGTGCGATTGAATGTACTTTCCGCTGATCTTTCTAGAACCTTCTGGAATCCCGAGGTTTGCTATTTCTTCTGCCAGTTTAACCAAAGCCTACTCTCCTCCATAGAACAAGATCACCAAATATTTTTAGCGATAGAAACTTACACATATGAGCATGTATGTGTGCATATGTATGTTTTGAAGCTTTTCAATGTTATTTTGAGAAATGACATCTCAACCAAATCAACTCAAGAGACCGAGATGGTGAGTCGTGAAACTGAAGAGTCGAAAGAATAGATATAAGGACCTGAAATTCGAGCTCCATAACTGCAAGCTCGCTTTTGATGTTAGTTATCTCATCCTCCTGTGTTTTAATCTGCAAAAAGATGGTCAAAAGTAGTCAACAAACAAGTCAAATAACTCATCATTTTCTGTTTGATAGAAGGATATGAAGTGAAGAAACATGTTTCTGCAACATGAATTTCCCTTGAACCTTGAAGATTTTTCTCTCTTTTGTCAAGACTCAAGAGTTTGAGATTGAGAATCAAATCACTATACAAGATTGTTTTCTCAAGTTATACAATGGAGAGTGTGCTAAAGTATGCAAATAACTCATCATCAAGGCCTTGACAAAGGTTGCTTTTTTTTTTAAAGTTATCTAAAAGAATGCTGATTAAACAAACTCTACATCATCAAACACACAGATGGAAAACAATGGAGTGTGTACTAAAAGCATGTATATAAATCAAACACAAGCACCTGACGCTTGAGAAACCGGTTTTGCTGATTAGCTTCACTCAATTTCTTAACAAGCTTTGATCTCTCGTTATCAATGAGCAATGATTTCAACTACAAAACCAAGAAAGAGAGTGTTTGTTAGTTCCTTCATCATCAGAGAATTATGATTAACTATAAGAGGGAAAAGAACATAAAAGATTTAACCTCGTCACTAGTGAGAGGTCGAGAAACAGAGTCGTCGAGTGAATCTTCTGTCAATGAGGGTTCCTCTGTGCCAACACCGACTAAAAATCTCTTCAAGAGCAAACTGTTCTTGTAATGCTTTCGAGTTGAAGCTATCGTAGGATAAGGAAGTTTCTTGAAATGCGAAATTGTTGTGAAAGAACTACCCAAATTCCATGACTTTAAGCTCCATGAAAGAGTGAGATTTTGCTCAAGACAATGTCTGTTTCAGAAGAAGAATCACTTCAACTATTAGTAAGTGAGCTTTACTATTAATGATGAAGCAAAACAAGATCAGTTTCGAAAAAGGTTGAAACTTTTTTGAATCAAAACGAAAGAACTAGAATTTGGGTACCTTAAGAACCCAAATTCCGTTCTGGGTACACAACCTGCATCAGAACATTCACAAATTTCTCAGCTTTACAAAAATTAGGAACAGAAAAAAAAAGAAAAGAAATTAGGGCCCTTTTATCTAATTCCACCACATTTCAGAAACTAAATGTTCGACGCTACAATGAACATGTTTTAGAAAAGAAACTAAGAAGAATGAAATTAACCTTGAATTGAACAGAAATGCTTCATATTGTAGCAAGAAAGAACAATTGTAGAGAAACACCGAGTGACAAAGAGACTAATTAAGTTGCAGAAACAGATAAACTGTGAGAAAGAACAAAAGTAGAGAAATTAAAAAACGATTAAATTTCAGCTAACCCATGAATTAATTAAAATCTGTGTGGCTACGCATTTATTTGATTAAACCCTTTTAATCTTTCAAAATATGGAGAAGAAGAAGCTGAAAAACATATAGAAATCGTAGGAAATAACTTTCCAAATTTAGTCCTCATATTTTCGGTTTTATTGGTTTACGGAGACTTATTTTCTTAAAGATTACATTGGTCATCCTATGTTGGATTGCTATTAGGAATGGGCATTTCGGTTTATTTTCAGGTTTGGTGCGGGTTCGATTAATTCGTTTTTACTAAATTTTTAACCAAACTCAACTATGGTTTGTGTTCGGTTCAATTTAATTTCAATTCGATTCAGTTAATTTTGATTCGATTTAAATTCATTTTGATTAATATATTATAAATAAAACGCAATAACTTAAAAAAAATAAAAGTTAACGTTAATATAAAAATTAAAATGAATTAATAACTTAAATATTTTTTTCTATTCAATTTTAGCTTTTAAGAATTAAAAAATCTTTAAATAATAGAATTTAAAATAATTAATATTATTAATATAATTAATAAAAAAGAGATTAGGTTTTCGGTTTAGTTTAGTTTTAAACCAAATCAAACCAAATTATTCGAGTTGATGAAAGTCTTAAGTGAAATGTTTTACTATTGACTTTAATTTGGTTGGTTTGGGTTGGTTTGGGTTGGTTCAATTTGATTCGTTTTTTCTTAAAATTGAATTAATAACATTATATTTTTTAAAATCCATTAAAATGTAATGGTAGAAATTTAATGAATTTGTAATTTGGTTTTGGGTAATGGCAATTATGTTTGTAGAATGCCTATATTATTCAACTATTTTTTGAACATATTACAATTTCGCTCATGAACTCTTCCCTGTCTTGTCTTGATGTTTTTGGCAGTGTCTTTAGCATACCAAAAGAGAAGATGTTTGTTTGTTGGTTTTCAACTCAGAAGTAACTGATAAAGCATATATAAGAGTTTATTCTTAGCAACTGATAAAACATAAAGCATAAGAAGACAACAGTGTAGAAAAACAGAAACTTAATTAGTTAAACTACATTTGCCCAAAAAAAAATTAGTTAAACTATATTCAAAGACTAACGCGTGCTCTGTGAAGAATTCGTCACAATACTCTAAACCCCAGAATCTGATTCATCATCATGATTCGTTTCACCTCAGAAACTGGTTCATCTAGTTTTATTCTATCTTTCTCAGGCAAGAAAGCGTTGAAACCATCAACCAACTGCTTGTGTCCTTGAAGAAACTCTTCAACCATCAGAAGCAAAGCATGCATTTCGATCCTGCAAGTAAAAGCAGAGGCCACAACCGAAAAGAGCAGGGGGATTAGGTTTCAGAGCAATAGAGAAATTCAACGTTGCCTTCCTAGCCAATTAAAGCTGGAAGATGTTAAAAAAGAAGGATTCCTTACTTGCGAGGGTGTTTTTGGGCAAATACTGTCAAGAGAAAAGCTTTATGGAAGTTGAGTGCTCTGTTGGGGCTTCCAATGGCTGGAGAGGTATCCTCAAGGTAAGGCAGGTTCTCCGGAAGGGCCTAGGATGGATCGTGGGTAATGGACAAGACATTAATATCTGGACGGAGCCATGGCTCTCCACCTCGGCTCCTTTCGCTCCTATAGGCCCTCCTACAAAAGCGAATGCATCACTTAAAGTCAAAGACCTCTTACATGCAGACTCAAATCTCTAGAACCTTGAGGCAATCAGAGACCATTTACCTCACTATGAGGATAACATCAGACTGCTCATCCCAAGCACCTTGAAGCCTTGAGATGCTCTCGTCTGGTTACCTGCAAAATCAGGAAACTTTACAACGAAAACGGGGTACAACCAGCAGAAGAGATTCAATAAAGAAGGAGAACCGGATTTCAGTTGGTACCAGTACATCTGGAATTTGCATACCTTGCAGAAAATCAAGCATTTTCTCTGGAGAGCGTCAAATAGAGCACTCCCGGTGGGTGAAAATCTCCGCTGGCGAGGTATAGAAGCCAATTCTTATTGCTCCCAATGTGGAACCCAAGAATCCATTGCGCATATCTGGTTTGATTGTCCTTTCGCCCAAGAGGTCTGGAGCATGTCTCCTTTATTGCCGAATCTTTCATCCCTCTCTATGGACCCTGATCCGCGTAGTATCCTCACAGGAACCTCTACAATACTAACCCCCCCCCCCCCCCCCCCCTCTGGGACTCCAGAGCACCCCTCTCTACCCCTGGCTTCTCTGGTACCTCTGGACATCCCGAAACAGACTTATCTTTAAAGGGGTGACCCTCTCAGGCCCTGAACTGGTTGAAAAAACCATCCTGGAAGTGGAAGCTTCCCAGTGGCATGCAGCTAACCTGAGCCCAGATCAGCCCTCGCCACAGCCTCTGGAATCAGCGACCATCTCTCCGCCCCTCAAAACCTTCGTCTGTTGTTCAGATGGGGCCTGGAACGTAGATTCTCGAACGGGCGGCATGGGCTGGAGCATCACAAACCCCACAAGTGGCTTTATCCGAAAAATCTCTTCCGCTCGACGTTTCATCTCCTCAGCCCTCATGGCCGAAGCACTGGCGGTCCTAGCAGCTCTACACAAAGCCCTCTCGCTGGAGATTCGAGACCTTTACCTCCATTCGGACTCGGTAGTCCTTACCAACACCCTACTTTCAGGGTTGGATTTGATCGAGATCGCGGGTATTCTGAACGATATCAGAAACCTTGCCCCCCTCTTTACTTCTTATCTTTCAGTTTCATTCTCCAAGCTGCAAACTCTGTTGCAGACAGACTAGCCAAATTGGCTCTTGCTATGTTAAGCCCACTGGGCCTGTTGTAGAACCCTTCGCTTATTTTAAATCAACCGTTGAACAAAAAAAAATTAGTTAAACTACATTCAAAGACTAACGCGTGCTCTATGAGGAATTCGTCACAATGCTCTAAGCTCTAGAATCTGATTCATCATCATGATTTGTTTCTCCTCAGAAACTGGCTCATCTAGTTTTATTCTATCTTTCTCAGGCAAGAAAGCGTTGAAACCATCAACCAATTGCTTGTGTCTTTGAAGAAATTCTTCAACCATCAGAAGCAAAGCATGCACTTTGATCCTACAAGTAAAAGCAGAGGCCACAAAGAAGACCAGTGTCAGTTACATCACTGATACCTGGAAGTTTGCTTAATTTAGGTGTGTATCCCTCAAACCTGTCATTATTCAAATCTATACCTGGAAGTTTGCATACTTGCCAGGTTCGTTTGCAAACGCTCTCTTGACTTCTTTTAGATAGCTCTTCGCATCCTGGAGTGTCATGTTGAGGTAAGGAGGAGCAGTAACAACTTCTCCTTGTACTCCAATTCTAAAGACAAGGAAAATCATAAAAATTCCATTTTGTTTATAAGTAAAAAAACACCATTCTTGAAATCTTAATCCAACAACGCATGTAGTATCAATCTTCAGAAATCTGATTGAAGAATTAATGGCAAGAACACAATTCCGAAAGGATTCGACTGTGGAGCACATAATTCGAAAGGATTAGACTTTCGAGCACATAATCACACACATGCATATAATCAATACAAGGAAACAGTGAGAAACTGAATACAAAAAACTCACCCTTGTTTCTGCAGAACATGAAATGTTATCTACAAACAGAGCAAAATCACCGGATTATTATTAGACTCAATCGTACAACAGAGAAACGAGAAACGAAGCGAGATTATTCAAAAACATGTTGTTGGACAATATCAATTACCTTTTGTGTTCTTCAGAATCTTGTAGACGGAATCACTTTTTGTTGACCTAAAAATCAGAGAAAAAGAAGGCTCACTGGTGATAAATAAAAAGGAAATTGAATGAAAAGGAAAAAAAATAAATGAAAAATTAAATAGAAAGAACGAATATAAATAAAAAATATATAAAAAGATAAATAATTTTTTTGTTTTCTTCTATATTTTATAAAAAATACCTTTATTTTATTCATTTAAATAATAAAAAATAAATATGAATAATATTAAATAATATTATTAATAAATAGTAAAAAAAATATAATAAAAGATAATTCATTATTTCTTCATATTTTCTTGATCATCAATTAAAACCGAAATATAGAACAATCTGAATCAACATGCTTTTTTTTTTCGGCATCTGAATCAACATGCTTTTGTCATTATTTCTTCATATTCTCTTGATCATCAATTTCCTATAATGATTTTTCTATTCAACACCTTCTATATAACTTTTTAACATTCCACATCATTTTATCTCTCTTCCACATATTTATTTAACATTTTCATAATTTTTACATTTTACAATGATTTGTTTAATAAAATCCAACACTCTACCCTAAAATTTATATCATATTCTTATTTTATGTTTTTTTATATTTTTTGGTTTTCTCATTCATAACAAAAATAATTTTATGTGTTAAAAGAATTATTATTAGGATCTATTCAACCCTAAAAAAAATTTAAAGATATAAAAAAAGTTGATGAGAGGCAATTAGAAAATTATATTAAAAAATTATGTTTCTTGTTTCATAGCCAAATGAACTAAGACTAGTCTCTATTTATAGAACATAAAATGTGCTAAATTTTGATCAATTCTTTTTTTAAAATGTATTAATATCAATTATTAGAGTTTAAATAATTTGAATAAGATAAAAATCTCAAAATTTGAAGAACCAATAAAAAAATTGCACATTTGATAAAAAAGAGTATAGATAATTTTAATGTAGTGTGAGTCATTAAATTTGTCCTATCATATTTTGCCATCACATTTCATGAAACCTTTTATATTGGGTTTCAATATGTTGAATGTTTTCAACAAAATATAATCCACATATATTCACAAATAATTTTGAACAGCTTGAATTAAACAGTTGAATAATCTATTCAACACCCCTGTTGTGGGTAGTCTAAACCACACTTTTGTCAAAACTGTATTCTCCACGGAAATGCTTTATCTTCACCGTCCTTATCGAAAAACTATCTTATATTTTATTTTAAGATTTTTTTTACAAATAGCTTTGGTATGTTGCTATGTGTTATCTAAAAAACTGACATATGCTATTTTTTAATATTTCT